GCTAAATTAAACATGATTTTGCACATAAAAACTAAGCATGCAAGATTGTTCGGAGAATTCGAATAAAATCATAACATGATAATATTAGGCACGGCTAAGGCTACGGCTATGCACATAACACGCATGCATGACCATATAAAATCTAATCTTCATAAACATGATACTCTCGGTCAAAAGTCGACGGGAGCTTACCTCTTATTAAGCTGAAGAGGTTAAACGACTCGAACTCCCGTGCTCTCGGCCGTGATGAACTCCGTGTGCGAGTGATGCGTTGCGTGCGTTGCGTACTCGGATCACCGGCGTGCTGCTGTTGCGCGGGCGATGCTCGCGGCTCGCGTACGAGTGCTGCTCGCGTACGATGGATGCTGCTCGCGTACGGTAGCGACGGCTTGGATGCGCGATGGCCCTCGGCGTGCGGAATACTCTCGGCGGTAGCTCACAACCAACCCTCCAACCTCACTAAACTCTCACTAACTCTCGGCAATAATGAAATTTAGGCGAGCAAGAAGAGGGAAAAATGTCCTCAAGCCCCCTCTTAAATGATGGCCGAATGCATAAGGTGTTAGGGAGTGAAATGGTCAAAGTTCATGACACTTGACACTCATGCACAAAAAGGCTAGGAACACTTGGCATAACACGCCCCTCCCTTGCCTCAACATTCACGCCCAAAACCAACAAAAAGAGCTCGGCCGAACATGTGCATTAAGGGACAAAAATCACTAAAATACAACACACACTCTCACATGGCACTAGAGGACAATGCACGGCTATTTAGGACCATGAGGGAATCTTGGAAAAATGGTCTAGCAAAAAGACAAGGAGTGCACGACCTTCATGACTTGTGTTGGGCGGAATTTACGAACAAAAGCACTACCACATGCACGGCATCACACAAGAAAATATGGACCGAGACACTAGCCCTCACACATGAAACGCACGGCTAACACACTATGTGCACGGCGATTGCACATGAGAAATGGACCAAATGCATTAACACTTATACATCACACATAAATGTACAATGCACACGGCAATAGCCACAATGTGCACGGCAATCAACATAAATGGATTTAAAATCCGAACATTAAGCTAATCTCGTGATTAATTTAAATTAATCACTTAACTAT